AGAGCTCCATGGTGGAGTAGTTAGGGTTCGAGAAGGTTCCCTGGAGGTCAGGCTTGCTGGGGTCTTAAAGAGCTGGTCTCACACTTTTCCAACCATGCCCCATGTGGTGCATGAAGCTCTGTATCCCAGCTGAAGGGTCATACCTTTATCCCCTTGAATATACTACACAGAAACAAGCATGTAACGTAAACTGCATTTACCAATATTCTGCTCCAGGTAAGCCCATTCCCACCTCTGGACCTTGGCCCACTCTTGGTTTCCTGCCAGAAATGCCCCACCAGCTGCCCACATGTTTAAACCAAACTCATGCTTTAAGGGCCAGGGCAAGTCTGGGGTGGTTATATGACCCACAGTGGGGTCCGAGCAACTGGGCTCACTCAGGCTTGCACCCCACTCCCCTTCCTGCAGCAAAAGAACACATGGAGACCCAGGAATTTTGACAGAAAAGTTAAAACCCTACACTCTTCTGCTCAGCTTTAGCTGGAAATTATAACAAGTCAAAGGCTCTCATCTCCATGGGCCTTCGAATGAGGACTCTTGAAAAGAACGCAAGGACTTAACACAAAGGCCCTGAAAGAAATATGCGCTGAGCTAGCGATTGTGTTTTGTTGGGAAAAGGTAGATCTAGAGAATATTTGCCAGACTTTTACCTTGAAGATGCTAAGCATATAAACAGGAACCAGGAGGAGATGACGGCTTCTTCTTGCCAGGTGTGCACTTACTCTATTGCTCATTATCCCAAAATTGTGTACCGGGGGCTTGTTTGCAAGAATTTTCCCTGAGTCATTCTGAGAAAGGCTATGTTCCCCCCAGCCGGTTTGGCTCAGAGGTTAGAGCATCAGCCTGAGGACTGAAGGGTCCCAGGTTCGAGTCTGGCCCAGGGCACATACCACAGCTGCCTCAGTCAGGGTGCATGCGGGAGGCAACGAATTGATATGTCTCTCTCACATCGATGTTTCTCTCTCTCGCTTTCACTCTCTGAAAAGCAATGGAAAAATATCCGAAGGTGAGGATTAAAAAAAGACAGAAAAGAAAGGTTATGTTCCATAACCCTGAATCCTGAATCTACTCTTGCTCTGATTCTTAACAATTGACTGTAATTTCCATTTACTGATATATAAGAAAATATTTGTTAGAATAAGTCTGTTGTAAGAAACTTAGTTTATTCATCTAAACTAATGTAGGTCACTATGACCTCACTTGTTATTTTGCAGCTTCCCTGGACTTTCTGGGGCATATTTTCACGTGCTAGAGAACATCAGTACCATGTGTCTTGGTTTTCTCCCTGCAAGCCTGTTTGTAACAAACCTGTGGCTCTAACGATTTCATTTCCAGAAAGCTATGGGATTTGTCAGGGACTGAGGAGAAATGCCCTCAGAATGAAAGTACACAACAAGGAACAAATAATGAGGGTGCAACCCTCATTATGAAGAGGTGTGGCCTCCAGGACCCTGTCACAGTCTTAGTTGAAATCCTTCAATGGCTGTTTCCTAAAGGTCAGCTCTAATTTCCTGACACGAAATATGTTCTTCATGAGACTCCCCATCGCACCACTTCCCTCTTCACCCCCCACTCCTACCCTCACTGCACCACCCCTCGGACTGCATTACTGCATGATTTCTGGTGTGAAGACTGCACCATGCTCTCTTACCTCTTGTGGGTTCCCCTCAGTCCCAGCATTAAACTCTACCCCCACCTCAACTGTTTATTTTCTATTCTTCCTTCAAGGATTAGACTAAGCATTACCCATGTCTTCTGCCAAATCTAATAAAATCAGAGTCAAGAAACAACTCTGTTTATATTATAAATGAAACAATTTTGGCTTATGTGTACTGTTACCTTCTGTTTGAAAATATCCACAGATGATCATATTAAGAAACAAACTTCCGATGAATGAACGTCTTTTAAAGATGGCGGCATAGGTAACCGCGGTCCCCGCTGCCTCCCGCAACCACATCAAAATTACAACTAAAATACAGAACCACCAGCACTCAGAGCCTCCTGAAATCTGGCTGCACAGAAGCCCCACAACCAGGGAACTGAAGGAGCACTGAGTCCCGTAGGAGGCGCGGGGACGCGGGCGGATCGGGGCTGAATCAGAGAGATGCAGCCACAGGCCCACACCAGGTGCCGCGGTTGAAACCCGGGAGGGAATCTCGGCGCTGGGGGTTTCCCGGAGGAGTGAGGGGTCCAAGCCCCACAGCAGGCCCCCCGCCCAGGGCTCCGGGGCCAGGAAGAGAAATTCCTACAACTCCGGACTGTGAAACCGGGGGGACTGTCGCTGAGGATCATGGAGGCTGCGGAGCCCCTGCAGCTCCTCTCAAAGGGCCCAGCACGGACTCACCCGGACGCTCCCTCTGAGCCCAGCGCCGGGCAGCAGCCTGAAANGGACTCACTCGGACGCTCCCTCTGAGCCCAGCGCCGGGCAGCAGCCTGAAAGGACCTGGGACACTCGGGGAGGAACTAACCTGCCTGAAGTCGGGCGAGAGGTGGAGGGGCTTCTTCCCAGACAGAAGGGCTGGCAGAGGCCATTGCTCCTTTGGCGAGTCCTCCCCACACAC